TATTAAAATATAAATATTGTTTGTCATTATGCATACAACTTAAACTGTATAAGCGATAGTGTGTGCTTAAACGAGAGCGGAAAATGGATTACAAAACTGAGATTAAGTTGTGCAGGCAACATAGCTACAGGGTATATGCTAGTCGTTCACTTGCAAGCCTTCCTTGCTTGTGCTGCCGACTTTGTGGTGGCAAGTGGAAAACTACTTCAACTAAATGTGCAACTAAATTCGCGGCAAAGTTAATGGCAACATTCAGGAAGTTAGTATTTTTCCTCATGAGCAAAGTCTCGACGCTTCGACGTGTCAAAAACTGACATGGAAAAATGGAATTTGCGCACTCGCCGAGATCCTAATTTTGGGTAACAAGCTCGCAAGTCACACGCAGTCAGCTTTGTTAAAGGGCTGACAGCATAGCAGTCGTCGGCTCAGCCCCGATGATAATAACCTGTAAACGTGACGCGATGACTTGCCAGATAGCATTGAAATATTGTCAGGCGCCACCTCGCTGGTACAGGCCGCTACCAGAAGGACACATCGGCAATTATAATTAGATATGTGGAGCGCTTTGGGCTCAATTAAAAAGCACGTGGCTGAACGAGCAGCGTACATGGCCAAAAATTGGGTTAAAATGTGTGGTCGCTTTAAATTGCTTCTCTTTCAATTTGGCGTTGCATTTTTGGACACCGCGGCGGCTGCATCTCATTTTGCCTATATTGAAATTTATGCTTCAGACTCGAATTCGCACATCGCACGTTTAAACAACTTTTGGGCGCCCGAACTTTACATTTTCATGCCAAAATTATGCGACGTAACTTTCACATCCGCGCCTGCCTGCGGCTGCCGGCCCATCCACAAAACCCGGCGGGAAATTGGTTTATTTTATTCCCATTGACTGTATTTCGGTCGGACGGTCGGTCGGTTGGTGGGCGGCTGTCGGCAGCATTTGGCAATTTGAAATTAACATGCAATGCGATTTGTTTAGAATTCCAATTAAAAACCATTTTTATTGCTCATTTTCGTCGACTGCTGCGCGCAGTAGTATTGACCAATTTTAGGCAAAAAGTTTGTTTTGCGTAGAAGATACTTTCGTGGATAAGGTTGAGCCAGGAGTATCAAATAGATTTCAAATGCGAAAGTATCTTAAGCACAGCGTGAGGTTCTTTAGTTTAAGGCTACTGGAGAGTGAAACAGTGTGGAATGAAACAAGGCATAGTTTGCTTAAAAGTAACCTAAGCTCTTAAATTGAGAGGGTATCATTTAAATATGAGTGTGGAATTAAATAAAATAAAGCAAAATATGGAAAAGTGATGAATGTGAAATGGATTCGATTTAAATTTGTTCCATACTATTAATATTCAATAACCCAATCGAAAGAGGATACGTGGTAAAACAAAGTGAAATGTAACAAAAAACAATATAGCTATTGATACGCGATTGACACATATAAATAATATTCTAGTTCAAAAAGAGTAGAGAAAAGTAGATGAGAACAAGGTGGACTGAAAAAATGTGGAATGGAACATGTTGAAATGAAACAAGACAGCAGGAAACAGAGAATATGTTTTTTCAGCTGCTTATAAATTACAGAGAGAATGGACAAAAAAAATCATAAGCAACTCAATTGACGAACCAAACCAATAAAACGCGAAAGAAACCCCTATTCCTAGAATACAAAAGATGCCCAACATTTAATTACTTCGACTTAGTACGTTAAGCCCACAGTCAAAACAGGTACAAATAAATTCAATAAAGCTTTGCAATTTCGAATATTACCTGTAATTGCATGCAAACGGCATTTGTGCCTGGTATTTGTGCGTAGATTGAACAATTTCCTGTTAACTGCTCAATCGACCGACAGCAGATGCCATGCAGTGGCTATGGTTAGCTGCTAGTTAGCTGCAGTACACCTGCAGTTGATGATAGCTTTTGGCCCAAACCAGATATGGCTAACACCTAATATGCGACTCTGCCCAAATGTAGCAGCACTCGCTGCCCCGTAGCCTCAGGGCCACGGCCCTAATGAAAACGGAAAACACGCGCGCACACCACATGAACTTGGGCAATGCATGTGGTTAGTCCTTTGCCAGAGTCCAGAGCGGGTTGTGTGTCTGGTTTGGAGCACATGTATTTTGAATGCAATGAGACAGAGCTAGGGTAAGAACGAGGGAGCGCGAAGAATGAATGAACTGGAGACATGAATGGGAAGCATCAGCCTCTAGTCTCTAGCCCCTAAAAAAATGAGCTAAAATGGGCTCGTTAGTGGTTGTTGCATGTCCAAGCTGCCCTTTATGTCTGTATGTCTGTGGGTGAGTGGGTGTGTGTGCATATGAATGCCATAAATTGTGCCACAGACTCTACTTTCGCAACCAAAAACCCCACGCTTGCAATCATAAAATCATGTGAGTATTTCATGCATGACTGCATTACAAAACTAGCAGGCCCAAACCCAAACAGTTGGCCAAAAGTACGCCTCTGTACCATTAAATGCCATTGTTTTTCGCTGTAAAAACATTTCCCATTTGCAAAATCTTAAATTACAGCTGGCGTTGTGCGTAGCAAAAGCTTTCGTAATCAGCGCATTTGACTACGTTAAAATTCTGTTTTTAGTTTTCAAGTTGTTTTAGTAATCCTTTAAGTGAGTTAGTTATTGATTAAATAAAATTTGTAGTTAACGAGCAAAAGGTAAAATCAGCAAAAGATAACATTTTCTAAGTGTGAACTGGTTGAGAATAACAAGCTTCAAGCGATGAGACTAGTACACCATGCATGCCAGAGTCCATTTTCCTAGGACAACAACTTTCTTAGTGAAAGAACTTTCCGCTTTATCAACTAATGCAATAATGCAAGTTTCTCTAAAGGAATTTCAAGCTCTGGAACAAATTAAATATATCTGATTAGTTTCTTCAGATTAGATGAGTTGACACAGGGGATAAGCATCCTAGTCGTAAAACTTTATTTATAATCTTAGATTATCTTAGATATTCATGTGCTCAACCTTTGCTGGCTCATTCTGTGCTTAACACCGTGGGAACTGGTCATCCTGAATACGCCTGATTTTTTTTCGTAATTTGTAGCAAAGGTTTTGAATAATTGAAGCACATAAATACTTTTCTTTAGATAAGTACTTGACTTAACAGCCAAGTCTTACTATAGGATATTTCATTTAAAATATGATGTGCTCGCATAGCGTCAATTCAGCAGAAAGGATAATCAAAGCTTTAAAAGTTCCCTCTACTGTTGGTATCTGGTGCAATCCCCGTAGAAGTGAGTTCTTTATCCGATTCGCCCCTAAGCGAGGTACTGTTAATGCCAACACATTTGCGCATATTTCTGCAGCTTGGCAAATTTACGCATCCTTCTGATGGCAAAGCGGCTGAGCGGGGGCTGTGGCTAAGACATGTTCTAGCATCCACGCCCAGTTGCGCCATTTTCTTTAGCGCCACGGCACTTTGCGAGCTCGTTCAAATCCATTTGAAGCGAGGGATTTTCATCTTTCAGGTTGCGCTTGATGTGGTTCTAGCTTCACGGCGCACCGAGCCGAAGCGTTGCCAAACCGTTTCCGACTGCAGCGTGTTTACGTGGCAGGACTTATCGGAGTTGTCTGGATTTATGTGGAGAGCACAATGTGCTGATTACAATGGCCGTGTCCAGGCCCTGTCCAAGCCCTGTCCAGGCCGTGTCCAGGCTCGGCCTTTGCTCGACTTAGCAGATTAAGAGCGTCGCTTATTCAACCTTAATTTATGGCGACACATAGAAAACGAGATACACGGAATGCGGAATACGGAATGCGGAATGGAAGACTCAAAGGAGCACAGCTGCATTTAAATTGAGAACGTCGTGAACTTAAAATTTGGCAACTGATGGAGTCATTTAATTTAATAGAAACTTTCACAGACCGCAAGCACCGCAAACCTATTGACTTGACTTCTCTCTCCTTTGTCTGTTGAATTTTCATAGATATATTGCCGAGGCCGGTGTCAATACACAGCTGTGAGAATTTGCAGGGCGCGACTTTTCCACACTGCACAAAAAAGAAAAGGGAAATTTAATGAAATTTCAAATTGCCATTCGCTTTCTATCTCAAGCTGTCAAGCTTCTGTCTGCGTGTCTGTCTCGTGTGTGTGTGTGCTTGCGTGTCCTGGCCTGTCTGCTCAATGTCCTTTGTGCTCCAGTGACAGCTGCTCATTTCACGCTTAGTAATTTCAATGAATTTTTGCTAGCGCTATTCGAGCCACATCTCCATCCTATTTGTACGGCGCTGCATTAATTAAATTTTCGTATTTAATTTTGTTTATATACATAAATGCATAGTTTATGCAGATGCGCCCTTAAACAAAAATGTCGGATAGTGTGCATAATAAACCCCGCCCCCTTCCCCTCTCCAAGCACAGCTATCGCAAGAATTTTATTATATTTTTATATTAATCATAATTGGATAATAATATTAGGCTCGCCGGCTCGTGTGTGGCTTACTTTTATATAAAAACACCTAAATAATGAGCACGTTAACTATGCAGCTATTTTAAGAACCTCCTGGTTCTGTCATTAGCTAAACTATACTCGACTCTACACTTAGAAAAAGAAAACAGCCCAGAATCACCCCTTAAATTTAAAGAACAGCTTTTGAAATTAGACCAAAGACGTTTCGCTCTCTTTTATTGAAAAGCAATTCGTAATTTTTCAATACTAATAACATTTAATATATTATAGAACATTTTATATATATATTATAGAATTATACTTTCTAAAGAGCAGAACATTTTTTCTTAAGTTAGAATTATTTTTCTGAAAATGTATTTTTAAGAGTCATAATTTCTCAATATGAGAAAACATTTTTAAATTCAAGAAAAATCTGAAAATTGAGAAATTCTAAATCTAAAGAAACATACAATATTATTTTAAGGCTCATATTTGCTTAACATGAGAACATTTCCTTGAAACCATTTCAATCATTTTTTCTGAAGTTTTGGAATTTAATTGGTTGAAAATTGCAAGCGTCATAAGTAGTTAATATATTTATTTATATGTGTCTTTCTTTTGACTCACAATGAGCTTAGGACTATTATTTAAATCTAGTTGAAATAACTTTCCTAAGCTTATTGTTCGTCCAATCTCAACGCATATATTTAATTGATAATTTTAGCATATAACTTCCATTTTCCTTTACAACTAAGTCTAGGTCTTTTTATTTTTTGACCTGAATAATTGACTATATCGAGCCGCCTTTTGACGCTCCCTTTTAAGCAGCCCTTTGCGCCATGTGCGCCAATAGGTTTGTATTTTGCGTGCTGCTCGATTCATCTTGTACAACAAGATTGCTTGCTGCCTTTTGCGTTCTTCATCTTGTTCGCGTTTCACGACAATATTATTGTAAATGTCCTCCTCTTCTTTATAGATCAGCATAAATGCATCCATCGACTTTTGTGCCTCTACCAATTCATTCCCCAGATCCAAATGCTCAATCATTTTTTCGCCAATTACGCGATCGTATTTTTTTATAGCGCTTTCTAGCTGAAACTGCAGCTTGTTTCTGTTGATAGGGGTTGTAGACTTTTACTGATATCGTTATTTTCCACTTACTTTTCCTCACGTGCCAATTTCTCCTCCAGCAGATTTCTTTTGGTTTGATTCTCATATTCCACACGCAGTTGTTCCAGCTCTATCTCCAGCAGTTTTTGTTTTTCCAAGCTGTTCTTCTGATTCTCGTGGATTTGGCGCTGGCAAGCTTCACTGTGGAGATTTTAGCGCTTATACTAAGTGGGACATGTCACACACATGCACACACACACGTACCTTTCGTTTTGCATGCGCAGCACATTTTTCATTTTCCTCTCTTCCAGCTTCAGTTCGCACCTTTGCAGGTAGGCGCTTTTCGCAGCCACTTTCCAGCGCAGCTTAACTTTTTGGCTTTCGAAATAAGCCCTTAGGTGCTTTATGGTATCCTTGATGTGCTCATTTTCTTGGTATATCTTGTGCAAAACGTGCTCGTTGCTGATCTCCTTCTCTGCGCTGCGTTGCAAATGATGCTTGGATATGCTTAGTAGCTGCTCAAAGGCGATCAGCAACTTGCGATCCTCGGGTGTCATGCGAAAGTCTGGAAACAGTGAATATATATCCGGATTGCGTTGAAAGTAGTCGATCAGCTTGATCATGCCATGATCCATCAACGGAGGTCGCTGCTCCTTCACAATGATGTCACGCCGGCGTATATAGTCTTCCACCAGGCGTATGGCTGGCTGGTATTCGGTGCCATGCAAGACGTTGGCCACACTGCTCGGCCTCCTCAGCAGCTTTGGCAATAGGAGCGCACTCTTCACACACTCTACCGAGTCCTGCAGCACACGTATGACACAACGTATTTGCATAGAGCGCATGGTAGAGAAATCTATCGGTCAGTTTAGATTTGAGTTGGAATTCATTTTCTAGGCTTGTCTAGAGAGATAGTGTTACCCACCAGCACTGCCATCTCTTGCTACGCTTGGATGTTTCTCACGCAAATTGCTTGGCAGCACATGGTCCAGTTTCCCCGACGATGATATCCTTGACAAATCCATTGTGTGCAAAAATATAATAACTATTTGTGCTGTAAAAAGTGTGTGTGTGTGTCTGTGTAATAAAACAGATATGTATTAAAGCAAAGACTGTGCTTGCTAGGAGCATTTTTTATTTGGAGAGAAAAACTTAGGAACTATGACGTTAACTGCAAACTTCTCAGCTCAGACAGATTTATTCGAAGAAATGTTAAAATTCATTTGATGCGAATTCCTATAAGTATTTTGTGCTTAATCTAAGCTTTTTTTTAAGCCTATAGTACCCATAGAGGGAGCTTTAGGAAATCGGTAGAAAATGTACTGTCTTGCTTTGATTAATTTATTTTTTATTTTGCTGATCATATAATTTTTGATAGATTTTGCTGCCAAAGTTGCCATCGAAGAAATACTAGCCATTATTTACGTTTGCCACGTCTGTTTTTCTTTTGCAGATGCTTGCGCCATGCGCGCCAATATCTTTGAATTTTGCAAGCGGCTCGATGCATCATGTAATGTAGAATGGCCTGTTGCCTTTTGCGTTCTTCTGCCTTTTCGCGCTTAACCACAATCTCATTGTAAATGGCCTGCTCTTTGCGATAGGTTACCATATATTCATCGAGTTTTTTCTTGGCCTCATTTAGTAGATCCGTCAGATCCAGATTCTCGACCAATTTCTCACCGATCACCGTATCATATTTCCGTATAATGCCCTGCAGCTGTATTTGCAATTTATTTCTGTGTTGAATTTTTGTTTGTTAATATATATAATTATATATTTAAAATATAATTGTACATTGTTACTTACTTTTCATCACGGCCCTCCTTTTCCAGTTTTTTGTTGTCTCTGTCTAATTTTTCACTTTCGAATCTGATCTTTTCCAGATCTTCAGCCAGTTCAATTTGTTTGTCCTGGCTGTTCCTGACATTAGCTAGCGCAGAACGTCGATACCGCTCTCTAGAGAAAATGTAGATTAATATTCTAGAAGTATTATATTTTTGCCAGTGTGACTTACGTTTCACGTTCGATTTTCTCTTCGTGCTGTTCTTTTTTCACTCTCAGCTCTTCCGCGATTTTGGCCAGATATGACTTCTTGGCGGCCGCCTTCCAGCGTAGCTCGATTCTGTGTGCGGCGATTTGATCCTCAATTTGTTTTATGTTCTCCTTGAGTTTCTCGTTTTCCGCGTATACACCCTGCAGATAACGTTCCTGCTGTATCTGCGCCTTCGCGTCGCGTTCCAAATGAGCCTTGGCCATGTCGATCAGCTTCTGGAAGACGACCACCAGCTTACGCTCATTATCGGACATCGAGTTCATTAATTGGGGAAATAAGGTGTAAATCGACTGGTTACGTTGGAAGTAGTCAATGATCTTGACCATGCCATGATCCATCAGTGGCGGTCGGTGTTCCTTCAATATAATATCACGCCTGCGCAAAAAGTCATTTATCAGTGGTATGGCCCCCTCAAATTGTGTGCCAGTCACAACCTTTGCCAGCATTTGACGATCCTCTATAAGTTTTGGCAATATCAATGAGATCTTAACGCGCTCGTAGGCTTCATTCATGGCTCGCAGCACATTTTCTATGATCGTCGTGCGCAGCGAGGAGAAATCTAGGTTGATCTGTTTTAGCTATTGATCTATTACATATGTTATTTAATTTTATTTTGTACCCACCCATCTGAGCCATTCGTATGGCCTCGCGCTTTGCCGCATGTTCGGCGTCCTTGTTGGTTTTCGACATTTTGAAAAACAAAACTCATAACACTTAAAAGGATCCTTTTGTTTGTGTCTGTCTGTAGTTTGTAATGTGTATGTTAATACTAAACGAATAAACGTATCAAATCCTAAACATTGCATTGCTTACTCGGTTGTTAAAAACCGGCCAAAAAAAAAATTCCCTCGGTATGTCTCGAATTCGCAGCAGACCGCATTACCTGCCGCCGCCTCCACCCAACAGCCACACCAATCATTGAGTTTGAATGAGAAAAACACAAATTGAATTTGGATAAAACTGAGCACGAATTTGAGGGATCGCAGCCCTATATATGTATATGAAGATCAACGAAATATGTCTAAAGTTGTATCTTCAGCATTATTCATCTAAGCCGAACGACGCCGAACTATTGATATTCTCTTCAATAATTTGTGTGAAATGCCTTTAAGTAAGTCACCCGATAGATATCAAAGCACTTATTTTAGTCGTTAATTTGTTTTATCTTTCTTTCGATTTTATCAAATTACACTAATTATTCGCCGTAATGAGTAACTAAATAATTATAATAACTTTTCTGTTGCCCTTGTTGCAGTCCCCTTTGTCCTTTTGTCGCTTTTTCATGCATTCGTAGGGGGTCTTAAGCCGTGCAACCCGCTTGCCCCTAGCTAAGTCGATGCTGTAATATATGTGGGTGTGCGTTTCCATGTAGCCATATTCCATTACAAATGCTGACAATGACGGATTAGTTTAGTCTGATGACATTCATTTAGTCAGTTCATGGAATTAGTTCATATGCTGTGGTCGGGCGTTCCCTGTGGACTAATAACTTTGTGCCCCCATCACAGAATGTTGCCCATGCGAGTCCAAAACATAATAGAGTCATTTTCTATGTGACTCGACGAGACAATTGGCTGTCTGCCTGCTGCCTGGTGCTGACCATATGTTGCTGCATTTGCACTCAGCTGAGGAAGGGCAAATCACATAAATTACTTTATGATGGGATCGCATGAATCTGGCAGCGGGTGAGTAAAAAAAGAAAAAAGAAGAAACTTTTGGAATCGCACATGTGGTCACGGAGTGAAAAAGTTAGAAGCTGCCATTGCCGCGCAATGCATTATGAGGAAGCAACAAAAGTCATTCCGAAGTTATTACACCCCCATGCAGAACCAACTCCGCCCCCTCCCGCCGTGCAGGCCCTTGTCTTTTGTCTTTTGCCAGTTGCCATTTGCTTGTCGCTTCAAAACATAAAACGCAAAAAAAAAGAGGCGAGAAAACAAAAGTTTTCAGTTTTTCGACTGCCAACTTTTGGCAACTTTCAGTGACAAACTTATTTTTTTCTGACCTCCACATTCTCCTGGACAATTTTGACCATTACGTATATATCTTTATAATGTTCTTGTGACCAATGCGCGTGGGCTAGAAATGGGTTAGATGAACAGCTGCATTCCTCTTCAATCTGCAGGCTTACATATACAAAGCATTCTACAGGGCAACCTTTAGTCGTGTCCACTGCAGTCGGGCATTCTTCTTTGTTTTCCTAAAGTTTGGCATTCTGTGAAATTGTCCAAAATGCAATTGCATATAAATCTAAAAGTTTTCAGTTACTTTTCTCCAAATGTTATGCAAACTTGTAGGCGTAGGCTGCGTTTCAAGCACGAAACGGCAAACTACTTTAATCTTGCAAAATAAGCTCAACGAGATTAAAAATAATAAAAGAGTTTGCCCTAACTGACTGGTCTTCAATGCACGGCCCAAACAAGCGGCAGGTCGCCGGCTCAAATCCAATACGTTGTCCGGTAATCTTGTAGCATAGCACAAAAAGTTGTATTTGTAGTATCATTTTTCTAATCAATAACTCCAAGATTTGTTAAGCATACACGAATTTTGTTCAATCTGTTATAGGCAGCTGCAAAATTTTCCGTTATAGCACACTCTAATCCACGCTACCAGGAAATGACAGATAAAGAGAGGTTAGCCAATGATGACGATGGCTTGGAAGTACCTAAACGCAAAGAAGGAAAGAGATATATTCAAACAAGTAATTGTTCCATAACCTCGAACCCATAATAAGGATCATTTGTCTTCGATTCCCTTGTAGGTGAGGACCACAAAAACACGACGTCTGAAATTATAGCAATAGCTGTTTCATGGATCCTTGTATTGGTCACCTTTCCAGTCTCCATATTCTTCTGTTTCGTTACGATCGCAGAGTTTCATCGAGCGATATTCTTCCGTTTAGGCCGTGTTAGGTAATACCTGATGGACAGATTGCATTTATTCTTTTGCAAGACCCTTTTCTTTTATTAGACAAGGCGCACGTGGGCCGGGTCTGATCTGGTTTTTGCCTTGCATTGACTCCTACTCTCTAGTGGATCTGCGCACGAGAGTGGAGGTGATTCCAACCCAGGAGATGATCACTAAGGACTCAGTGACGATCAGCGTCGATGCAGTCCTGTTCTATTATATCACAGGCTCATTGCATGCAACAATACAAATCTCGAATTTGCACGAATCAACTCTTTTTATAGCTCAGACAATGCTGCGTAACGCTGTGGGTTCTAAAACACTTCATGACCTGCTGACCTCCAGGGAAGCTCTGTCTGAGGAGATTGGTCTAGCTGTAGACCGCGCAACCGAGAAGTGGGGTGTGAGGATCGAAAGAGTCGCAATGTAAGTTTCCCTATTTCTTGGCTTAAAATGGATTTCTTTATATATTTTTTCAGTAAGGACATAAACCTACCAGAAAGTCTTCAGCGAACTATGGCTAGCGAGGCGGAGGCACTGAGGGAAGCTCGTGCCAAAATCATATCTGCGGAGGGAGAGCTCTTGGCCTCGAAAGCTTTGAAGGATGCATCTGATGTGATGGCTCAGAATAAAGTTACCTTACAGGCACGTACTACCAAAAAATCTATAAAAAATTACCCACTTTCAGATTTACTACCACTTTCATGTCGCTCCAAACTTTCTATAGTTGCGACATTTGCAGATCCTTACATCGATTGCTCAAGAGCGCTTAGTTACGATAATATATCCTTTCCCTATGGAGGTATTGTCACCGTTTGAGGTCCGTAAAAAGGGTGGTACGGCTGGTTTCGCGCCCTTTTTAGAACTGTTTGGGTCCGAAACGGCAAAGAGTTCTGAAGCTGAATACAGAACGACCTCTAATGCAATTGGAAATGATATTAATGAACAACCCGAGTAAACCGGATCTTGAAGACCAAAGTTAGGAATTGGACGCATATGCTATAGTAAGTCTTAAACGGGGACGGGAAGATGATTACCAATTTATTGATATTTTAGTTAAATGTATCTGGATACAATTCGAGAAAAAGATTTACAATTTAAAATATTGGTTTTGTGTGCTAAAACTTTAAAATATTTTGTACAAGTTCTGCTTTTTTTGAATCAAGAACTCTAAGAATTTCTAAGCATTTAATAGTCTAGCAAATATGTGCCTTCAAATCCACATAAACTACAAAATTTGTCGTTATGGATGTTCAACCAAATCCACGTGACCAGACAAATGCAGAGAGGAAAAGCGCTGATAAAGTTAAATATGGCAACGAAGAGCGACCATCCAATAATAATGAATCCAAGGAATTAAGCAGCCGCAGAGAAGGAAGGAAATATATTAAAACAAGTAATTGTAACATAGCTTTGAGTCTTTTGGATCTTATAATAAGGGTCACTTTGTCTCCGATTCAATTGTAGGTGAGAGCCACAAAAACACGACGTCTGAAATTGTAGCAATAGCTGTTTCATGGATCCTTGTATTGGTCACCTTTCCACTCTCCATATTATTCTGTTTCGTTACGATCGCAGAGTTTCATCGAGCGATATTCTTTCGTCTAGGCCGTGTTAGGTAATACCTGATGGACAGATTGCATTTATTCTTTTGCAAGACCCATTTCCTTTATTAGACAAGCCGCACGTGGGCCGGGTCTGATCTGGTTTTTACCTTGCATTGACTCCTACTCTCTGGTGGATCTGCGCACGAGAGTGGAGGTGATTCCAACCCAGGAGATGATCACTAAGGACTCAGTGACGATCAGCGTCGATGCAGTCCTGTTCTATTATATCACAGGCTCATTGCATGCGACAATTCAAATCTCGAATGTCCACGAATCAACTATTTTTATAGCTCAGACAACGCTGCGTAACGCTGTGGGTTCCAAAACGCTTCATGACCTGCTGACTTCCAGGGAAGCTCTGTCTGAGGAGATTGGTCTAGCTGTAGACCGCGCAACCGAGAAGTGGGGTGTGAGGATCGAAAGAGTCGCAATGTAAGATTCGCTATTTGTTGGCTTAAAGTGGATTTCTTTATATATTTTTTTCAGTAAGGACATAAACCTTCCAGAAAGTCTTCAGCGGTCGATGGCTAGCGAGGCGGAGGCAATGAGGGAAGCTCGTGCTAAGATCATATCTGCGGAGGGAGAGCTGCTGGCTTCGCAGGCATTGAAGGAAGCATCAGACGTGATGGCTCAAAATAAAATTACCCTACAGGTAAATACGATGAGAATAGTGCATTAGTAATAAACGTATAAATGAAATATATTATGTTTTGTCAGTTGCGGCACTTGCAGATCTTAACATCGATTTCTCATGAGCGCCACCTTAAAATTTACTTCCCCATGCCAATAGAAATGTTGTCAACTTTTACAGAAACTGGCGGGGGTCAGCGTAAGATTCCTGGAAACCCAGATGACGATAATGAATTAAAATCCATTTTCACGGCCATGTTTGAGCCACTCATGAAAAATCCCGGCGAGCCATTGACTTCCGACGGTGAATCTTATATGGGCCTGGATAAAGTAAATGAAACCATTTACAAAGACTTTATGAGTATTCACACTGATCTCCCAGATGCCTCAGAAGAGAAACCAAATCAGACTCAAAAGCAACAAAATCTATCTGAATCGCAAACTATTTTAACAGATTCCAATTCAAATTACCGTATGTTCTGAATATTAGTTACTGTCCTGCCTATTGATTCCTACCTTTTAGAAGATCTGAATTCGACAGATGGTAAGGATTCTTCTGCAACAGGAGCAGAACCTTCCGAATCCAAACCCGAACCAAGTACAGATAGTATGTTTTGATTTTGTTGCAGACCGACTTATGAATTCTTACTTAAATTCCTCTCTGTTTTTAGAAGATGTTGCCATTACAGCAACGGGCCAAGATCAGTCTGAAGCGCAACCAGAGTCGCCCGCTTCTGTACCAGGTAATAAAAGTATGATGTGCATTCGTAATTTTTACTGCCTCGACTTTATGAGCCCTAACTTATTCTATGTTTTTCAAAGATGCTTCAAATACAACCCCACAACCGCCTGAACCTGAGCCGCAACCACAGCATACCAGTCCCAGTCGAGATAGTGAGTTCTGAATTCACAGATAAGATCTTAACTTTGTTTAATTATTTAATTTAAAATTTTTTACAGATGTTCCCGGTACAGAGGCAACTCAAACACACCGGCGCGCCTGTAAGTGATTATCAAGAGCTGCTGAGTTTATTTAAATTAAAATTTTTATTTACTTACTAGCAGCTGCAAGCAAGAAGTAAAGTCTAATGTCACGAGTTGTATTTCCACATTTCCCGTAGTGAAAGCAAATTTTCAATGTGTCTTAAACGCAAGTAACATTTTTATGTAGCAGCTCAAACCTTATAATAACATGAGATAATTTTCTTCTAATGTCTGTAACATGTTCAATTTGTTACGTATATTGTGCTTTATTTGTTTTATTTTTGTTTTATTAAATTATTATATCTGAGTTTTGTTTTTATTTGTTGGATCTATTTTCTTATGTATTATTTATCCCCAGTTGCACATACTAAATCTTTCCTTTAAACATTACAAAGTTCTACTCTATATGCATCGCAAATATACACTAAAGCTGCCCTCTTTCTTTCTCTAGATAATAAGGGATAAAGGCCGGGCACGAACAAGGCCATAGAAAGGTCAGCAACATTAACCAAATGTGTAACATTAATTAAACTGACGCTTAAAAGCCACGACAAATGTGTTTTTAACAATATTAACTGAACTAAGCAAAAAAATGTTTAAGTTTTATTTGTATAATTCACAATTGGTGGTTGCATCAAAATGTTGCCGCATACGAGTCGCGAGTGGGCACTCGGCTGTGTTAATGTACTTCAAATGTGTGTGTGTATGCGTCGTAAATTAGCAAAGAAAGTTTAATCTTAACGTGCCAGTCGGTGCAAAGAAAACGCCGAGGAATACACCCAACGAAAATGGCAAGACAGAATGAAAAACAAAAACGCATAATGACGAAATGTGTTAATAGGTTAGTAATAATATTTTTAATAATTGAAATGTTCAATATATTTTTATTCTTATTGTCATGATTCCATTCTCTTTAATAACCCAAAATAGGACATACCTTTTATATTGTTTCTCTGAACGCCTTTAAATTCGCTCTGCATATCGATATACATAAGTCTGATAAATCCGCTTCCAATGGCGTAAAATAGGTGAAATCTGACTTTTTGATTTTATCAAAAAAAGTAGCAATTCAAATTAAATTTATTTGTTTAGTATCATATCAATCTTAAAAAATATTCTATAAGCTAGATAACGTTTAGTTACGTTTTGTCGGGTGGCTGAATGGCACAGTTTGCTGCTTTGTATTCGCGCACACATTAGCGTTTTCTTGTGTGTGTGCGCGCGGGTGTGCGTAAGTTTGGTGCGTGCTTTTCACATCGTGCGTGTTCGAGGACAGGTGCAGCACAACACCCGCACTCACGCACACACACACTCAGCCGCGCACACACACATGTGTTTTGCTGCATGCACGTGTTTGTGCAGCTGTTTTGAGCTTGCTGTCCCGCATCCCCCACCCACCCTTCCATGCGGAACAGGCGCTGCCAGTGTCAGCCAGCGATGCATATTCAAATTTGATTTATGCAAATGGCAAATGCAGCAAGTGGCGAGTGCCGAGTGCCGAGTGGTGCTCTCTACCAATGTTTGCACATTTGATGCCGCACCGAACCCTTGACTCCCCATAAGTGGCCAACTAGTAGCAAATAAGCCATCTTTCATGTGCTATGCAGCTGTGGACCTTTGGGGAATTCTTTAATTCACATTTAAATCCAGAGAACGAGCAAGCTGTTTCCTCTGCTGGTGAGAGTGTGGGTGGTATATATGTGCACTTGACGTTTGGTCATTTCAGTTGTCATTTGGTTTTCTCCATTTTGATACCCTGTATCCATAGGAAATGGGCCAGAAGGGTATATTTGTTTTGAGGAAACCCATGAAGACTTCTCTAACCCCATAAGACATAGTAGTTGTAGATCGTGCTTGTTTCAAAATATTAATAGCTCTCGGTAATCGATAAAATATCGATGGCAACCCTTTGTATAGAAAAGCAGGACGTCAGATTTAAGAATTTTATTTTGATTTGATTGTTTCGATTCTATCCTGTTACGTATTTTTTTTTTAGGAGCAGCTGCTCTCGTACTTTCAAAGGAAGACTTCTCTAGCCCTATAAGATATGGCTGTTTTAGTTGCTTGTTTCAAAATATCATTAACTATCGGTAATCGATCAAATTTCGATAACAACACTGTACATTATTTCCTATTTTTTCTGTTTCGATTTTTTCCTTTATTCGTTTGCTTTGTTCATCAGCTAAGCTCTGTTTTTAGAGCATCTGGTAGTCGTGCACACTCGAATGGAGCACTCTTACTTGTTTTTTCTTTTGCTTTTTGGAATCATTGGTCACCGGCTGACACACGGCCACAGTGGCCGTAAATGTTCTGCCATCTGTTAACCTAGACGCTCAGCTCAGCTGTCACTCTGTTGGGTTCATTTTGCTTTAAGGTCTTTTGGTTATCGTTGGGGTTTTGATTTTTTTTTTCGCCCACTTCGTTTGGCATTTGACCTCAGCACGATTTTATTTTCGAGCTTTATTTTTTGTATTGATTCCGGAACTGGCATTTTTTCATCTTTGTGTTAACCTTACTGCATTCGATTTCATGTTTGTCATTGTCAATCGCATTTATTGACATCCGTTTTATTGCCCCCCAACAATTTGAATGGCAACAGCGCATATTTCTCCCCTTTGTGCCGCCTTGTTTGTTGCCTGATTTATTCAAGGTCGCTTTTCGTCTCTTGGCACTGAAAACTAGTTTCACAAAATGGATTTATACCAAATTTGTCTGCTTTTTTTCTGCTGTGTTTTCAAGCCCCCCTTTTGGCAATTACATTGAAAGTCATTTTTGTTGAACGTTTGCCCTGGCAAATCTGGAACGATAAGCGCCTCTGGTTAAAAATTCTCTGACATTTGTTTATTGCATTTTGAGAACTTTAAATGGACACATTGTTAATAAATCTTATGTATTTATCTTCCACCTCAGGCTAAACTTTATAAGTTATAAATAAATGCTTTGCAGAAATGTTTTATATACTGGCCATTGTCAATTTATTATTTTAATAATAAAAATTTGCAATCTTAAGCGGGTATAAACGACTGTTTATAGTCTGTTAGGCTTGCCTTGCTTTAAAAGCAATTAATTAATTTGCGTTCACACCTATGGAAAAACAAATATACTCTTTTTTATGTCGCAGAGTATTGCAACAAGAAAAGTTGCAAAAATATCAAACTTAGGCAATATCTTGATCTTCAAATTTAAATTTGAATTAAAATAAATAAGCATGACCATGAATATAAAAAATTAGAATATGAAAATTGTTATCTACATTTTTTTTTTTTGTTTAATATTGAACCATTGAAATTTCGATTTATAGTTTATTTACAAAGCAATCAGCAATTAGCTTTAACAAACCCTCTAGTGTCTACAGTGTGTCTCACTGATGTGCGACACTCAGCTCCTGGATACACTGTCTGGTAATTGAAGCTGCTGCACAGCTGACACAATACCTGATGTGCATTCCATGCCAAATGGATATCATTGAGCACTCTCCGACACAAAGCAAGCATTGCTGCAGCTCGTCTATGCCAACAATGGATATGCTGGCAAGCAGGAGGAGTAGCCCAACCAGTTTGAAAGCTGAGACCATGTAGGCTGTTCGGCTCAAGCATTGATGGGAGGTCGGGCAAGGGGTGCAGCTCAAAGCAGACGAATGCAAATTGTGTGCTGTCGAATTGTGGCAGCGCATGTTATTAACAAGACAGTTATGCAGGCGCACACAAAGGTGGTCGGCATTCAGCCAATCTCGGGCTTAGTTCTATGCGGCATAAATTAGCTGCCGCATTGTGTCAGAAGCAGATCCCAACGACTCTGAAAACATGTGTCGTCGCTTGTCAGACACACAGCCAGACAGACAATCGTACACAGACCTCGACTGAAATAACTTACAAACACTCAAACTTTATTCGTGACAAAGTGCCAGTCGGACGAATGGACTTGGGTGGGATAGGGGGCTTGGCTCAAAAGGGACTAACAGACAACTGGGCGTATACGCAACGCAATCTGTTTACCAGGCGTAAGGCAAATGCAAATTGTCCTTCTGCTAGTGTGCGCGCGCGCGCGTATGTATGTGTGTGTGTGTTTTCCTGGAAGTTTTGTAGCCGCAACGTAACTCGACTTCTGTTGCTGCTGCTACGCCATAAGAGTTACTAAAAAATTAGTTTGCCAACAAAATCTTCTCAAGCCTGTTACTTTTGTCGTTTCTTAATGAATGTGGGAGCCACCCACAAGACACCCACACACGCACCACACACACGCGCACACAAACACGCACTAACAATGAGACTTACGAATGTTGTGTCATCTTAAAATGATGTTGGCTTCCTGTGACTCTTGTTAAAAGTTTATATTAAGCCTCATTTTTTGTAGCTGCACTTTAGAGTTGAGCGCGTGACACGAAATATTATGTAAATATAACTTAAATCAGTTAAAAGTTAAAGAAAATCGTATGGATTTAATATTATGTAAATATAACTTATGTAAATATAACTTAAATCAGTTAAAAGTTAAAGAAAATCGTATAGATTTAAAAATTATATTATATCCCACTTTTTTAACAGTTTCAATTCACATTTAAAAATATAATTTGGTATCATTTCTATCCCATAAATATCAATATCTAGTATGAATCTCAAATATAGTATTTCATAAATGTACTTGGTAACACTTTTTTATTTAACATATTATATTTAAAGAATAAATAGTTTCTATAAATAAATATTATTTATTTTAATGAATGTCGTGAATGTGAATGTCTCAAACATATATTTCGTGTTCGTTTCCGTGTTCGTATTCGTGTTCGTGCTGTGTCTGTTACGCGCCCATCTCTAGTGCAGACTGTCAACGGGCTCTGCTGCCCGCTTGAAATTGTCATTGACAGCCGCATAAAGTTTTGAAATCTCACGGCCCGGAGTTGAACTACAATTTCATTAACTAAGTGGCCGTAGCAATTAAGTTTGTGCATTTTGGAATAATATAAATTAATTAGAATATGCTAATGAGTTGCTTTTCGCAATATCAACGTGCGTAGAGGCATAGAGAGAGCCCCCGCCCCTCGGACCATCAGCATCTTTGTTGCTAAGACCGACCTCCATTGGGCGCTTGAGTTAATTTACTTGAATAAATTAGCGAGCGATGCAGGCGAATCCTCTGAAACATTTAAAGTTCTCAGTGCTCGAATACTCGACTGTCGACTGTCGACTGTCGTCTGTCGCCTTAGCAGCTCTCCATGTAGTTCTCCCACTTGAATCGTATGGTTCTACAAGCAATCAGCATTCTGGTTGAGAGAATCTCTAGACAACCAAATGGACTTCAAGTATTTTTGCGCCTCTGTTGGGCAAACTTTTGCACAATGTACTCAATTAGAATATTTATCACTTGTACACCTAAGTTAATTTCTATTGTGCATGGTCTGGATTAGAAGTGAATGCCGTCGTATTTATATAATGAGTGTTCCTTGGCTTGAAGGACATGCATCCTTGAATATTAAGAGATAGATATATTAGATGCGCAATAAAATAAATAAGCTGAATTTGTTGGCCTCTCATGTGGGCGTAAGTAGACACGAAGTATTGTCAAGATGAAGGACGCCAAGGACATGTCAGAAGGAATAAATAAGAGCAAGAGATAAACGTCATGGATAACATTCATAAAATCTTTATATGAAGCAATGCGAATAGAATGTGAACTAGCAGGATATTTTTTATATAGACTAAGCGAAAGTCGTGCACGTAGATATATCTATATTAATGGAATGAAGAATAAAGACATGAAGTGTGTACAGGCTTTTAAAATATACCGAAAAACTGATTTATATCTCTTGTAATATAATCTGTATACAAAAAAGAGAGAGAGATCAGGCTACAGTCCAAACCGTGAGAATTATGAAACTGAAAATTTGACTAAATCTCTATCTTGAGGAAAATGAACACTTAGACGAGGTTTAATATGCAAATTCAAGCTCAAATACGAAAAACATCAACCAAAATATGTGTACTTTGCAAACGTATGGGCGTCGGACGAATAAATTTTAGGTCGTAATTTCAAATCCTGCAGAAATATACATATTTCATTATTTAATTTAACATTATTAACAAACAGAAAAGCGTGGTGCGAATTTGAGCTGCTTCGTAACGGCCTGATGCCTTGGTAAAATAATTTGTTAGGTCCTGATTATAAAGAACTACTCTTGTCTGTGGGTTGTCAAAAGTAAATACAAGAAAGGCACAAGAATGCAAGCAGGATAAATGCATTCAACTTAAATAGCGATGAGCACAAGTCTCAACTGATGCATTATATAAATGTTATGAATAGCTCGAATAACTATTCAAAAAACACAACACGTTCTCAAGTTCACAGACAAATATTGTATTAGCATTTTCTTCGACCTTTTGCGAGTTGAATGCTCCATTCATTCAGGCGTTAACCTATCTGATCATAGATGCCAACATGTTGCATCTCATTTGATGCGTGTGTACAATTCATTAGATTCCTGTCGTTTGCATGCAGACGATGTCATTTTCTATGGAATCTTCCACTAACGGCATCATTTCGATGTCGGCATCGACTTCGATGTCGAAAAAGTCATTTAAAGCTGAAAACGACTATTGCATTAATTCGGGCCACAAAAACGAAATTCTATGAAATTCGCTTGACTTTTTTTCTGGCACTTTTTTCCATTTGCTACACGTGCAACCCATCAACTGGCTGACTGCCTGCCCCACTGGTGGTTGCCCCATTGTTGTTGCCGGCGCATCAGTGTGGAACGTTGCACAGCGACGTCATTGGCATTAGCAAGCGGCAAGTGGCAACTGGCAGGGGTGAGGGAGCTGGCGGATTGGCAAATGCGAATACTCCTTCAACGATTTAAACCAATTTCAGGCAACTGACGAATTTCATTTCATCGTGTTTTTCACTGGCCATAGTTGTCTGCCCTTGAGTATTGATTTGCCTGCTGTTGAATTTTGGTATATATAAAAAACAAAAAAGGAAACGATAGAATACTCCTAATGACAATGAAACTAAACAAACCGTTCCCAAAATTGACAATCAGACTTAAAGATTAAAGTGGTAGCTGCTTGATGGAATTTCCACCCTTTTCATTAGCTTCTGGCTTTCATTATGCTTCAGCAGTCGACGCGCAATTTCTTTGGCTAATTATGTGGCAGTCGGAGAATTTTAATAGGAATATTTGCGATAAAGTTATGCGAACTAACTGGTAACAGGAGCTGTTGACGTTGAAAAATGGACGAGACGAGGAATTTGCATTTAATTAAGTCGTTGGGCAGCTACTGAGAAACTATAACAATTTCAGAGTGTCTAAAATGCAGTAAAGTACACATTGATTAAAATTAAATTATATTCTAATTCTAGTTAAAGTTTTTCAAATCATATCCTTTGTTAAATTTTTAATAATAAATTACCTAGAAATAGGCAAATAACTTCAATTGGCGCTTATTGCCAGCTGTGCTATTCAAGTTTCTCTTAAAATTATTTATTTGCCGTTTGGCTTTGGGCAATTTGACACTCTCAGGACTTTTTAGCATTAAACGCATTTGTGACCTGGCACTTAAGGCATTCAAATCGCAATTTCCACATGATTGCGACGCATTAAATAATTTGTTTGTCTGCACTTTGACCCCTTTGTTTGACAATCGCAAATTTATGCGGCGAACTCAAGTGGCAATTAGCTGCGATACGCGTGAACCTTAAGCCTTCGTTAATATTCAATGAATATTAAGAGGTTGTCAATATTGAATGCTGCTTTTAAGGGTATTAAATCGGTTGCTTTGTAAATTACCCAGAAATTGATCTAAATTAAGCGCGAGTAGAGCAAGCAATATTAATTATTTATAGTAATCTACAAAAGTATTCACAAATAGTCTATTTTGTTTAATGAGGTTGATCTTAAGATATGTACATTTACAATTTATAAATTAAATTTGCGCCATTCCAAAACTCCAGTAACAGTTTCCTGTAAATCTGAAAAAAAACGTTGAATGCTTAGAAGTTATTAAAGAAATATTTTCTTTGTTAACCTGATCAAATATTTCTTTTTCCTGCTTGAACTTCTTTTCAGCTGAGAAAAGTCTTGAACTCTCATATTTTGTCTGTTACTTTTCGTTTATTAGACTATAAGACTTTCGAATACTTTGTTAAATACATTTTCAATACAAATCCTGATCAAAAGAAAAAAATATAGCATTTGGTAGTTCAAGGAAAATGCACACTACTAAAAAAAAACAAAAGACCAGCCAACAGTTAATCGTCATCATCATCGGATAGCAGGTCGGACAAACTCAAATCCGAGGAGCGTTTCTCGAGATTGTAGTTATCCTTGGATTGACCTGGCAAGACAATCGGTAGGGCGTACATGCGAAGAAACATGGATACAGTATCACGAAAGTCCTGCTCGGAACGCTTCATAATGGCCGCCGCATGATGATTAAGCGGATCGTGAGGATTCGGATGCCGCAACAATTGCGGCAAGAATGTCTCGAATATATTCACCAGATCATAATTGGCCGACCAGGCCTGCTTAAAGACATTCATGCACACAAGCCCGGTAGTGAACTCTATATTCGGATGCAGAATCTTGGTAACGAAACGTACGCGCGGCGCCTTCAATGGATATTCCTGGGGCATTGACACATTCACCGTCCAGACGCCACCCTCGTAAGCAGTGCCCATCGGTCCCTCAAGGCGCACGTCCAAATTGGTCATGTCGTCGTCAACGGTTGTGTGATACCCCGCAGCCAACAGCCTGTTTACGTCGCGGTTCAGGCGGCGTCCGGCCATGGGCGAGGTTGTGTTCACGACTACATTGGCCATTTGGTCTCCTGTTATTCTACGTGTGTCTCCGTATCGGAACTACTGAGATTTTGAGTGCACTCGTCTGTTCCCAGCGGTACCTTCAAAAGCATTCATCTGGCAATGAATCGGTTATTCAAGTCGACTCTCATTTAACGCATTTGCATGCGCCACAAGACAACAAATATATTTAAAAAAATACTAATTAAAAAAAAAATATCCCAATACTTACATATAAAAGAAACGAAAATTTTGTTACTAATACATTATAATTTTATAAAACTATATATCAGTGCCTACTTTGCGCTCGAAATCGTGCGACTACTCACATGTCTCAAAAGAATATATGGATTAGAATCAAATCTATTTGCCAGACATTTTCTGGAATATCCCCAATATGGTTTTTCATACTATAGTTCTCTGCAAAAGTCGCGTAACACCCTTTTTAGTTTGTGGTTTATTGATGTTTTTGTGTTTTTAGCGTTGTCGCATTGCGCACAGAAAACGCTTTAGATGCTGTAGCTCGCTGGCAAATACCCTTTACTCTGATTCATATTATTGTAGACGGTGTATTGAAGCTTTTGAAGCGGTTGGTTACTGGTTGTATCCAAGACCCTATATACCAAATTTAGCTTTAAAAGCTCCTCCAATCTCCGAGATAGTATATATAGGCGGCAAGCTTATATGATAGAAAAGTCGTCTATAATGTCTTGGCTGTAAATTTCAATCAAATATAAAATTCTGATTCGTAATCGTCTTCACTCGTGCGTCACATGCATTTTCACTCGTTATACATACCCCCTCTGCACATATTTTAATTACAGGGTGAAGAAAACATTTTGTCAACGCGCCAAAAATGAATTTCATTAATTGCGCGTGGGTCAGATGCAAATATTTTTGGCTGCCCTGCCAAACGCTTGTCGCGGGCTCCCAGGCAAATAGTTACGTATGCAGTGCTGGGCTGCTGGGGTATTGTTTTCCAGCCATCTCTGTTATCTATTCTAAATTCTAGGAGCACTCACTCAAGCTTGAATACATTTCTGATTGTCGGCCATAGATAAACATTTCTACCGACTGCACTCGTGTATCTAAAAGATTGCGAGATAACTTCAACAGCAGTGCATTAAAGTTAAATGGACTTTGCACTAAATGCTGCAAATTGCTGCCATAGCAAACAGCATACGACGGCCATGTGTACACTCGCTCGAAAGTATCTGCAGCTGCCGCTGCAGCTGCAACTACAACTGCATTTGTATCTGTATCTGTATTTGTAACTCTGTGTGTGTTCATGCTCCTCTCGCTCTCTCTCTCCCTCTCTCTATCTCTATCCCCCTTCGGTCTGCACAATGGCAGCTAAAACAATGGTAAATAACGACTAGAAAATTGTTAAAAATGTCAACGATTCTTCCCATTGCTCAAATCCTTGCCCCTGACGCGCGCAATTCAACCCAGCTCCCTCCCACCTCGTACCCTTGATGCCATACCCCAAATTCACAACCCTATCGCACTCGTCTGTAATGTCTGCCCGGCTGGTTGTGTGCGTCTGGGTCTGGGTCCGGAATGCGCATTGTTGCAGTTTTCACAGTTGAGTGCGTTCATTGTTTTCGCTGTCAGCGCTGCGCGTTCACAATGAATAATTAGAATTTGTTGAAGGTTTTTACGAATATACCTCGCCATGCCTCTAGCGGGCATGGTAAAAGGAAGGGTATATTAAAATCTACACAGAATAATTATTCTTCAGGAATTAAACATAAGACCACAAAAGTCTTTTCTGATCCGTTTCAAACGAATTTTTGATTGTTTTATTTTAACTTGAATTTAAATTTGAACTTTTTTTATAAGAAAATAACAGGTAGTCCGTTTAGTTCTTTCAACAACCTTCTGGTTTTAACATGAGCAGCCTTTGTTATCTACCCTATAATTGAAAGCCTATTCCTTTTTTAAACGTTGACGAGTTTAGAATTACAAGCGTCAAGCAATGACAAAAGTATAGCGTGTATATCCGTGTATATCAGAGTCCATTTTCTATTTGCGAAAGCTCTTCCCCCTTCATCAACTAAACAGCGGCCAATTACTGTAAATTAAAGGGTATTTTGTTGCTTGGTACTTCCATAAGCAATACTCTTACTTGTTAATCAATTTGTTGACTTGGTTCGTGCTACATTTAATTTGAGTGCATGAGTGCCAAATTAACATTTCCCCTTTTATATTTTTCGACTTCCCAACTTTATTTGGCTTTAGGCATTTAATCCAATTGCTGCGCTCTGGAATACTATATCTTTTATTGGCGGACTGTAAAATTTAATTTCTTATAAATTGTTGATTCAGTGAACACTAACTGTGCAATACAGTTTTCAGAATTGGCTATAATCAAATTAAAGTTGATAATCAAATAAAATACGATTCTTTAAGCAGTTAACTGGCAACATTTTCGCACTTACCAGCTGTAAGTGAGGGCGACGTACGCCTAAATGTGATTTTCAAGTGTATAAATTAAATGTTTTAATAGATGCCATTAAGGGCGTTATCCGCCATTAAAACAATATGGAAGCCCAGACTGCGGCAATTGTCTGGCCCCGTCCGCCGCGCAAGAGACGGGACCTGAAATGTGATTATCGCGCGAAATGAACGTGAAATTAATGCAAACTACGCGCCAGCCCTGAAGCCCCCGAAAACTGATTCTGAAACTGTGAATTAAATGAAACAGAAACTGGGACTGAGACTGAGACTGAAGCGGAAGCTGGGGTTGCCGTCGGCTGGTAATGGCATTAAGAAATAAGCCCAACATGGGCGTCAATTTTCGGTATTCTTTTTTATGCCACATTGTTAACTCTCGGTAATGAAGTTGTTTCTGTGTTTAACCAGCGCCGACCATGCCAAAGGCGACCACAAAACCGACAACCAACACTTCAAAACTAAAACAAAAAATAAATAAGTGGAATCTGCTCGCCGAACATTGAATACCCTTCTAGACATATGTCTTAGGGGTTCTCAGATATCTGTAGGGATTTGTGGAGATCGTAAGAGTTAAGTTTGCTTTAACTTCTTCTTTCGATTCTTTCTTTAAAAATATGTGATTTATAAGACAAATGCTGAATATATTTTTCTCATATGTGAGAAGCATGGTAAATCTCCTATATGCTTTATTTAGCTATCTCGATAGACGAGAAAGTTCATCATAAAATAATTTAGTTCTCCACCGATCGTTCCTATATAGATATCGATTTCCGATTTCGAAGCTAATCTAGATTCCTAGAAAAAACAAAAAAGTGGAGTCTAATATATAATATATATAATATAATATACAACAGGCACCTTGGGAAAGTTGTATCGACTCGGCTGTTGTTACTGATCAAGAATACATAGATACATTAATGGGATCGCAGATGTCTCCTTCTAAGCGTGTCGCACTTCATGACAAAAGTATAATACTCCATACAAGCGGATACAAAAGGGGAACAATTTTCCCACTTACCTGAAACAATATATATGTTGTTACTGATCAAGAATACATAGATACATTAATGGGATCGCAGATGTCTCCTTCTAAGCGTGTCGCACTTCATGACAAAAGTATAATACTCCATACAAGCGGATACAAAAGGGGAACAATTTTCCCACTTACCTGAAACAATGGCGTATGGCAAAGAGCAAACAACGCCCAGCACTGCCACTAAACAATGGCCCGAACAATGGCAAATGACAAAAGGCGAACGTCAAAAGGAAAACTAACAGTGGGGCCTACGAGATGCAGAGACTACTTGAACGTAAATGAAAGCAATGACCACTGTCCATTGCCACCTGTCGTCAGCAGTTAAAATTACTGCAACACACGGGACGAGAAATTTAAATACTGTAGAGATAAATATTTAAAAAGTTAACGAGGAAAGATTGAGCTTGAGCACGTGAGCAGCGCATACATACAGAGAAATATTAGCGAGAAAGAATAAATCAAATATATTATCCTTGATTTCAAAGATAAAAGAACCCTCGACTTACTTGGCAGTAAAAGCAATGGAATAACCATTGAAATGAGTGCTGTATAAAGACTTTAAAGATTAAACTCTTGAAATCAGAACTTAGCTTTCAATTTAAAATTTTTAAAATGTTTCCTTGATTGCAATAGCAATCTTTTCTGTACAACAAAAGTTTTCGGCGCTTTGAGCTTTAAGTCAAAACGCGAGCTTAATTGCTTGCGCTCAATTTAATTAGGCTCAATTACAGATTTTGAGAGCTTTAAGAGTTGTTTGGCATTAACGTGCTTGTTTGACCTCGTTGTAAAACTCAAGTTCACCTTTTTAAAATCGTTTCAAAGGGCATTCGCTACAATTTTTGCTAAAAACATTGAATAATTAAATACTATTGAATATTTACCAGCTGCAGAGCAGCGTTTGCTACCTTTTTAAGATTTTGTTTGAATAATTTCGTGGGCATAATTAAAGTATGGAATTTAACGGGGCTTAAAATCGCATGGCGCTGGGCACAGCATACAAAGTCAATTTGTTGCTGTTTGCTGGTAATAAAATATTTGTCGAGCGCCATTTACAAAGTCATTTGCAAGCTCAATGTGCTTTCAAAGTAATGCGCTCCACCTGCCCTTTTAGCGCCTGCCTCCCTATTGCCTCCCAAGCCCCCTTCTTTTCGAGGGGTACCCACCAAAGCAGTTGTTTTAGTCTTTATTGCTTACGCTTTTTGGCAGCGCCAGCGAAAGCGTTTACAATTTTATGGTCTCAGGTTTCAGGTTTTGGTTTTCCTTGGAACCCCAGGATGTCAAAAATGGATGAAGTGAGATTGGAGCGAGTGGTGCAGGTGCAGGTGTAGATGCAGATGCTGTGCCTTGCGTTGTGTCGTTGTCGTTTATTTAAAATGTCGTAAATATTTGGCTTTTGCTCGCATGGCATAACATAATATTTTTCATTAAAAATGATCAAATTTCTGAAAATCAGCGTGGGTATTGTGGAAATTTCAATTTCTTGAAATCACAAGAAAAAGGCAACACTCTTAAAGTCTAATTTCCATTAAAAAGAATCTATACAAGCTCTTTCTGTTACATTATTATTCCAGTGTTGAGTTGTTGTAATCGAAGTCTGTGCTATCGATAAGCATACGTCGATATGCACATCTCTAATAACAATCATTCTTCAGAGTTAACCAACACTGGCTGCTTGCAGATTTACTTAAAATTTCAGCTTTAATTTAAATCTCAAAAGTCCTAAACGAAAATTGCTGCAAATGCATGTCGTAAGCTTCAAATAAGTCTCCTAATTCAATTTGAACAGTGCTGACAGTCGTGTAATAAGCGTAGTTCCCACATATCGCATTCGGCTATTTGAGCGCAAATGTG